TTTTTTTCCTTTTCTTTTTTTTTGAGACAGAATCTCACTCGGTCAGCTAGGCTGGAGTGCAGTGGTACAATCTCAGCTCACTGCAGCCTTCGTCTCCCAGGCTCAAGCAATTCTCCTGCCTCAGCCTCCTGAGTAGCTGGGATTACAGGTGTGTGCCACCACGCCCGGCTGTTTTTTGTTTTTTGTTTTTTGTTTTTTGTTTTTTTGACAGAGTCTCGCTCCATTGCCTGGGCTGGAGTACAGTGGTGCAACCTCGGCTCACTGCAAGCTCCGCCTCCTGGGTTCACGCCATTCTCCTGCCTCAGCCTCCCGAGTAGCTGGGACTTACAGGTGCTTGCCACTGTGCCTAGCTAATTTTTTTTTATTTTTTTATTTTTTAGTAGAGATGGGGTTTCACCATGTTGGCCAGGCTGGTCTCAAACTCCTGACCTCAGGTAATCTGCCCGCCTCAGTCTCCCAAAGTGCTGGGATTACAGGCGTGAGCCACCATGCCCAGCCCAATTCAGGTTAACTCCTAATGAGAGCCGCTGCCTTCCAAGTGCAGGAACCGTAAGCTCCACTCGGCATGCACTGTGGCCTTGGATTCCCCTCCACAACCCAAGGAGCCAGCTCTGGTTAGAGTCCTGCCCAGCTGAGAAGGAAACCAAGGTCCCGGAAGAGAACTGATTGGCATAAGGACACAGAACACGTGTGTGAGAAGTGGGACCAGACTCGGCCCTGCAAGACTAGCGCTCCTTCCACCATGCTGCTTAGGATCTAGTGGGGTCTAGCAGGGTGATGGTGCAGCACTGGGCTCAAGGATAAAGGGAGAAAACAGAACTGATTAAGTGGGAGTCCCCAGCTCTGAGAATAATTCACTGTGCAGCCCCAGCCAAGTCACTCTGCCCCGTGTACTCCAGTTTCTGCCTAGTCAAGGATAATAACAGGTATTGTCAATAACAAGAACAGCTAACACCTGCTCACACTCTTCTAAGCCCTTTATATGTATCACCTCCCTCCATCCTGCAGGGGAAGGTGGCGTTAATTAATTAGGGGAAGAGTGAGGCAGATCATTTGAGAGAGGGACTAGCATGGCTAGCTATGTGACTGTGGAGCATGATGATGGGTTCAAGAAAGGAGAAGCTGCCAGTGAGCCAGGAACACAGTGGGGGGATGGGGGAGGGGAGGGAAGTGGGGAGAGATGAGCAGGCGCCAGCCTCGCAGGGCTGCAGAAGCCGTGGGGTGGGGAGCGTGATCTTTGTCCTGACACAGGTGAGGAGTCTGTTAGCTGCCCCTGTCTTACACCCCTTCTTTATACATTGTACCTTCTCCCACTCGGTCTGTTATTTGTCTTTCTCCTTTTTTATGCCACGAGTTTCTTAACAGTAGGGACCGGGTTTTATTTATGTCTATCTGGTGCATAGCACAGAATCAGATATATATGGATACCCAATGAATTATTGTTAGTTAGATATTTAATATACTCAATACTAAATATTAACATGTTCAATGTTTAATAGCTATATATAATATATTTAAGTTCTATATTGACATTAGTACCTGTATCAGTCCATTTTCACACTGCTATAAAGAACTGCCTAAGACTGAGTCATTTATAAAGGAAGAAGGTTTAATTGGCTTACAGTTCAGCATGGCTGGGGAGGCCTCAGGATGTTTACAATCATGGTGGAAGGGGAAGCAAGGCACCGTCTTCACAAGGTGGCAGGAAGGAGAAGCGCCGAGCGAAGGGGGAAGAGCTCTTTATAAAACCATCAGATCTCGTGAGAACTCACTCACTATCATGAGAACAGCTTGGGGAAAACCACCCCCATGATTCAATTACCTCCACCTGGTCTCTCCCTTGACACATGGGGATTGTGGAGATTACAATTCAAGATGAGATTTGGGTGGGGACAGAAAGCCTAACCATATCGGTACCTATAATGTAACTTGCATTATGCAAGCATTTCTGCTACTAAATGATATATGCATTTCTGTAAATCCTTGCATTCTGAAAAATTCAAAAATCACAGAGATTTGGGAGACAATAAGGGTGCAGCGCACTACTCAGTTCATGCAACTCTGTAACAAACCACAATCCTAGTGATGATTATAGCACAGTGCTATATTTTGAATTAAAAATATATTAGTAACTTTAGGACCTGAGTAATCATAGGGCTATATTTTACAAACCAAAAGGGGAACTTAAAGGCAAGTGGCTAGAGAAGGTTTGAGGCAACTGAGTTATGGAGGCAGGAGCGGACAGATCTTCATCGGAAGTTACAGGTATAAGAGCAGTTGCAGGCTTTCCTAAAATATACCAGAGAGGGCCGGACACGGTGGCTCATGCCTGTAATTCCAGTACTTTGGGAGGCTGAGGCAAGCGGATCATGAAGTCGGAGATCAAGACCATCCTGGTCAACATGGTGAAACCCCATCTCTCTAAAAATACAAAAATTAGCCGGGCATGGCAGTGCATGCCTGTAGTACTAGCTACTCGGGAGGCTGAGGCAGGAGAATTGCTTGAACCTGGGAGGCGGAGATTGCAGTAAGCCAAGATCGCGCCACTGCACTACAGCCTGGAGACAGAGCGAGACTTCGTCTCAAAAAAAAAAAAAAAAAACTATCAGACAGGAGTGGTCTAACATGGCCTTTGCACAAATATAAGGGAGAAGTGAGCAGTAAACTCTTCTAAGACAGCACATGGCCACACTGAGCCAAGAGGAAGAACATGGAGTGAGCGGGTGTCATGGACAGCATGGAGTCATCTATGGCTTACTACACTCAGCTGTGTCAGGGATCTTTGCATCCAGATGCTGTTACTTGGTGATGCAAAACATGAATGTGCTGGGAACATTTGCCTAAGAGCTAGTACTACTTCCACATTTTATGGCCATCATTCCACTGTGTATCTTAACTTAGCTGAACTGTCTTATGGAAGTAAGTGCAGTAGAACGAATGATGTCTAATATAACACATGACTCATTAAGTCGATAATGCCAGCTGTCTAGTTTACATTGAAAAAAGTACTGGTCCTGCACCCTGCATGGGTTGTGGACTGTTTTCCTCTCGGTCTGTGAATCTATTTAGTAAATTCACCTTACAAACAGAGCATGGAGCAAGAGCATATGGAGTTGGGAGACGCTAATTTAGAGTATCATACATCTACACTGTGATGGCCCCCTCCTCATAAGGCGCAGCTAGACTACACTGGTTGTACCTCTGGACTCAGAGTCAGAGGATAGTCACCCCAGCCTGTCTGATAACTGTGTGACCTCAGGAAAGTCAGTTAACCTCTCTGTTTTCCCAACTGCGAAATAGGGCTAGTGACATGCCCCTTAAAAAGTAAGGAGCTGATTCGCTGGTGGATAAAAAGCTCTTTCTAAGCTATGAAGGATTCTGGAGAGTATTGTTCTTCTCGCAGGTCAGTGCCTGGAATGCTCAGGTTAGCTTATCTCCTGGGGTGCCTCCTCCCGCCGGATGGTTAGTTCTAAAGGGCAGTGGACAAAAGCCCTCAACTTCTTGGAATCAAAGTAAATTAATCACTGGGATTAACTGCAGAAGCTTGAATTCCCCTGCAGGAAGGAGGCCCAGAACTTTCAGCTGGGGAATTTTGCTGGCCTTTGACAAAACTGAGGAGGAGGGAAGCCTGTGGCCAGTATTCACTGTCTCCTTCCCTGAGTGCTCTGCCCGATACCCCGAGGCCACCACTCACCTCCAGGACTCCAGTCACCCAACACCGGTGGCTAGGACCCCTCCCTTAGTCACTCCCACAAAGCCAGGTCTGACTACTCCTTCCCCCAAATAGTGCAGTGGAAAGGAACACAGGCTCTGGAACCATATGAACGTGGCTTTGGATTAGCCCGACCACTCACCAGGTCCACAGTCATGGAGGCCAAGTTGTCACTTTTGGAGCTGGTTTCCCCACGTGGAGAATGGGCTGCAACTTCCTTCCTTCCATGATTAAGAAAATGATACACCAGCACTTTGCAGACTGTAACCTGCCCAGGAGTCACCTGAAGGTCTTGTTAAAATGCAGGCTGCTCTCAGACCATAGGGCTTGGTGGGGCCTGGGACTCTGCGTGTGCAGCAAGCTCCCAGCCAGTGCGATTGCACGGTTGAATAGCAATACCCCAGATCAGGTGTGTGAGGGACCTGGCGCATGGTAAGTACTCAGTCAACAGAATCTGCCACCTGAAAGTTTTCTTTCCCCCAGCCAAAAGGTTCTCCTTTGAAAACAGGAATGGATGGAAAGATAAAGCTCTGCCCACCTCAGAATTCTCAGGGAAACAAGAAAAAACAAGTTTGGCTTTCAAGACGGGCTGGGTGTGGGGAGTGAGAATGGTGTGCCCTCCGCGGCAGCTCCCTGGCTCAGTGGCTGCTCCGGGCACATGTGGTGGCCTCTGCCCTGTGTGCTTAAACCTCTAGGGCTCAGGCCCCAACTTGCCGTGCTGTGAACACATCCTCAGAACCGGGCACATGCCTTTTTCTTCCAGCTACAGCTCTCCCGAGGAATTTTCAAAGCACACGGGGTTCGCTTGGCAGGAGTCTCCCAGGATATAAATACGCTTTGGGGGCTTTTGTTTTAAGGACTGCAGTATCTTTTCGACTTGAGGCCCGAGCACAGAGCTTTCCCCCTTCGCCCTCACCAAAATGCAACCATGAAGGGCCGCTGCCAGGAAGACTCAAGGAGGCTCTGAGTGAGGTTAAAGAGAGGCCTCCCGCACCCCTTCACCCGCCGATTTTGCCTTTCACTTCGCTCTTCTAGAAAGCCTGCTTCTCCACAAGCTGCTGACTCATCCAGGGCTGGGGTCTTTTTTTTCTTTTTTTCTTTCTCAGAATCACCACAAAGCCCAGAGATTTTGAGGTTGGTTTAATGAGCGGCTCAGTCCTCACCATTTCCTTTTCATTCATCTTCCCCACCTCCATGCCAGTCCCCCCTTGACTCCATCCTGCTAGAAAAGAGATGGACACCCAATTGCTCTGCCCTGCTTTTGACAGTGAGTTTCTGTCCCCTGTAGGTCTGGACGTACCGACTGCTCTTGGAGTAAAAAGATTCCCAGGATGTGAGCAACACGGGACCGGTGAGTACTGTCGCGTTTGGCAGTCGTGGGGCCTAGGCTGGATTTCAACAAGGGGAAGGAGAGGGATGGGAGGGGCAGGGGCAGCTGAGCTCTGGCAGCTCTGAGACTATATTTCCATGCACATGTACCTGGAAACAGCACAGAGCCGAGAATCTAGGTGTGAGTCCCTTGGAATCCACTGGGTTCCTGCCAATCCCTCCCCAGGAGCGCTGGAGCCTGCAAGTAGCTGGGCTGTCCTACCTCTGCTCTGATGACGGCAGCCCAAACTCACCATCCAGAGGGCGTGTGCTCAGAAGTGTTTCCAGCAAACCTCTAGCCAGGGCTAGGGAAATAGTCTTAGGACAGAGAGGGAGCTACCTGGCTCACACCAGCTGGGAAACCATGGCCCTGAAGAGACAGTGCTAAAGTGAGGCAGGAAAGCCACCTTTGCACATTTGAAGGACTGTCATGAGCAGGACAGAGGTGGGCAGCTGTTGACTCCACCTAAGGAAACATTCCTAACAGAAGAGCTATGCGAGAGTGCAATAGGAAACCTGGGGAGTAGAGTGAGTTCCCTGTCGCTGGCAGAATTCAAGCAGAGGCTGGAGAAATGTCTGTGAGACATGTCAAAGGGGAGAGTGCAATGTTTACAGACCCTGTTCCCTGGTGATCAAGACTGCTGTGAGGGACAGGCAGTGGGAGGAGGGAGAGGGTGTAAGGAAAGTCTGAATGAGGGAAGCTTTTGAACTCGTGCCTGCAAATGCTCAGTACTGCCTCCGTTTTAGGTGCAGGTTCTGCTATAAAACTGTTTGGAAGCCACCAGATGAGATGACCCTCGGGTCTCTCCTCCGTTGTTGCCCATTGGCTGGCTGTACCTGAGCTAATGCCAGACAATGCACATATCATAGGCATGAGCCCAAACACCTGCTGTATGTGGTGTGGGGGCAACTCTCAAAGCATGATGACAGTGTTGCGGGAGCCTCTCTCATGCCCGACCACCAGAAGAGTTACTGGCTAGTCATACCCTCAAGGGACTCGGCCCAAGATCCAGACCACATAGACAAGAGGAAAAGGCACGGGGGAACAGGTGGCAAGACCCACCCACCCCCTACTCCCCAGGGCCCCAGAGAAGGCAAAAGTGGGTGTGGCCCAGGCAGGTGGCTTGGCCTCACCTGGAACCATGGGCCCTTGGGCAGGGGCAATACCACATGCTCCAGTGGCCAAAACCTGGCCCACTGAGCGTGAGAAAAATTGCACTCCAGACACAAATGGGGAAGTTACGCAGGAGGGACACCCATTGCGCTTGGGAGGGTCTGAATAATGAGCACGCGGGTTCCTTTGTGCTTTGTAACTGGGTCTTCTTCCCCTGGGGTCTGGGTCAGCTGCAACAGTAAATATTTATCAAGGGCCCCTGAGGGCAGGGCTCTGTGGGAGGCCAGAGATGGTGTTTTTCTTTAAGAAACTGACAGCCTGGATGAGAATCGAGTTTGACAGTGGTTGTGCACAGGCTGTATATTCAGCTGATCTCTGTTTGCTGTCGGGGGGCCGGGGAAAGGAGGGAGAGGAGAGGACTGAACTGTGACTTGGCACGTTCTTGGCAAGTCTTTAAGCAGGAGTTGAGTTTTAAGGACAGGTGCTGTGTGCTTGCATTCACAGAACCTGGCATGTAGTAGGTGCTCAGTAAATGACTGTCAAATATAGTGATGAGGAGGCAGCCCAAGGAGGCGATGTCTGTGGTTCAGAGCATGGCCCCTGGAGTCAGAATGCCAGGTTCCCATCCCAGCCCTTCCACTAGCTGTGGGGCCTCATGCGTCAGTCTCCTCCGAAGATGGGGATAGTGATAGTTCCTACCTCACAGAATGGTTGGGAGGATTTAATGAGTTAATTCACATGAAGCTGTCAGGCTCTCATGCTGGGACATAATAAGTCTCAATAAATATTAGTCCTTATTCTTATTCTAGACGTGAACCCAGGTTAAGGCCCAATAATGGGACAGGAAAAAGCAGTGTAGGTTGGAGGACAGAGCACTGGGCTGGGAGTCAGAAGCCCTGGCATAGCTGCAGGGCAGGGTCGAGGAAGCAATCCCTCCCGGTTAGTACATCCTCTAAGCTGGAGATGCTGTGGAAGGCTGTCAGGGTGGCACTGTTTTTCCTCCTGGCTCCCTCTGGTCCCTCCTGGTTGAAAGCAGAGGCGGCTCTGCTATTTATTCCTAGCTGTGGGCCTCCTGGAGAGTGGTGTGACCTCTCAGAACACCCCTTTTTCCCAATGAATGGGGACACCCTTACTATCCTTCTTCCCTCCGAGAAGTAGTCGTGAAGACTGAGAAGCACCAGCACAAAAGAAAGATTCCATTGATACAGATGGAGAATCATTTAAGATCCCAGCTTGGGTAGTGTGGTCTCAAGTCCCACAGTTCCCTGTTCCTTCCCCAGTGAGGTCTGGCTGTCTCCATGGCTGGAAGACAAACAGCGTGTCGCCAGATTCCCATAGTGATGATTCACTTTGCAAAAGGCACTCCCCACCACCCCAGGATTTGGAGCATATTTCAGATAAAAATTGCATTCGCCTGAAACACTTGTCAGGGTTACATTTCTTACGTGAGTGGTAGACCTGGAGTTACAGAATGAGCTTGCTTAGTGGCCTGCCTTTGGCTCCCTCACCCCATCTCACCCAGACCCTAGTGGATAGCAGGATTGTAATGTAAGCCAAAATTGTATATGACACAAACACAGCCCCTGAGACTAGAGGATCTAAAACTATTCTAGATTCCTTTGCCCATCAACCCCCCTGACATCTGCCAGGTGGCCACAGCCTCACTTCCAACTTGGGTGGGAAGACGGATGGCATGAGGGGATCAATTGGTCATGGCTGCCAGGGGCACTATGCTGAGAAGGGTGTCAAGGCATATCCAGGAAAGAGTATGCTGCAGTGGATTACTGATGTCTGCTGAGGAGGCAAGAAGAATGATAGCATTCCTGCCACTTTTTGGCATCCCCAGACAAAACAATTTATTTTTTATTTTTGAGATTGAGTCTCACTCTGCCACCCAGGCTGGAGTGCGGTAGCACGATCTCAGCTCACTGCAACCTCCACCTCCTGGGCTTAAACAATTCTCCTGCCTCAGCTTCCCAGGTAGGTGGGATTACAGGTGCCTGCCACTATGCCCAGCTATTTTTTTTTTTTTTTTGTTTTTAGTAGAGACAGGGTTTCACCATGTTGGCCAGGTTGGTCTCCAACCCCTGGACCTCAAGTGATCCGTCCACCTCAGCCTCCCAAGGTGCTGAGGTTACAGGCATGAGCCATCACACCCAGCCCCTAGACAAAACAATTTCTAAGTCTACCTGCCTGCATCATACTTTGTGGTATTATGTCAGCAACCTTATTTTATATCAGAGGGACAAGGTGTAGGCAAACCTCATTAATCTGAACCACTTTGGGAGCAACCCAAGTGAGTGAAAAATCTTCAGCCCAGGGTGTTTCCTGCAGGCAGGTGAGCCTTCTTACCTTTCAGTCCACAGACTCAGCTCAGCCTAGCTAACTAACTGGTGCTAATGCAGGAGCCACAGAACCTGTGCTTAGCAGGTCTGACCACATGGCTGAATGCACCTGACCTGTACTTTTAGGCCACTTACTGTCTTTGCATGCTTAGGAATTAATACAACTGAAACTCTAACAAAAACAGTGTGTTTTTTGAAGTAGAAAATCATTCAATGGGCAGCTTTGCTTCTATTTCAAATTGCCAGGGAATATGAATTAAGAGAAACTTTGTACTAGCTGGGAATAAGCTGTTTTTCCAGAGTTATATGCAGAAAATGAGACAAAATAGTCCAGAACGAGGTTTCCCCTGAGTTTCCCGATCTGTAAAATGGGGGAAATAATACATCTCACAGGGTTATTTGGGAGAGTAGATGAGATAAAATGAGGAAGAGACGTAGCATGCAATCTCGCTCACAAAAGATCGTCAAGAAACACTGTTTCTTTTCCCCCGTACCACCTCCCATCTATCTTCACACTGAAAGCATAGCTTTTTTTCTTGCAATATGTTCAAGAAATGATGTTACAGATAGATTTTTTTAAAATAGCATCATACTTTTCAAATGACTCCTGTTAGTTTTTCAGAGGCTCTTCCTTTTTTATTGCTGATGATCCTTCAATGGGAAATGTCCACTGAATTCTTCACCTTGAGTTCCTCTGCTCTAGTCTTCAGGGTGGAATAGCTCCAAGGGTCCTGACATGCATGTGGACGAATGTCTTTGTAACATGATTGAGCCTTTTAGAGGGTTTTTGTAGTAGAGACTGAGTCATACGGTGATTTGGCTATTCCACATCTTTCCTTCAACACAGCAAGTGTCCACACCTGAATTCCACTTCCATTGTTGGGAGAGTCAGGACAAGAAGGGTGACCTAATGCCAGACTGACACCAACCATGTGTCAGGAGGGTAGGCTTTACTTGTTAATAACGGGTAGTAAGTTTGCAATGAAAATCTTTCATCGTTAGTCTCTGAGAATCTTCAGGAGAAAGATTAAGTTTCCAGTTAAAAAAAAAAAAATCAAGGCTGGGCACAGTGGCTCACACCTGCAATCTCAGCACTTTGGGAGGCTGAGGTGGGTAGATCGCCTGAGCCTAAGAGTTCGAGACCAGCCTGGGCAGCATGGGGAGATCCTGTCTCTACAAAATATGCTTTAAAAATTAGCCAAACATGGTGGGGCCCACCTGTGGTCCCAGCTACTCAGGAGGCTGAGGCAGGAGGATCGCATGAGACCAAAAGATCAAGGTTGCCGTGAGCTACAGTCACACCATGGCACTTCAGCCTGGGCAACAGAGTGAGACCCTATATTGAAAAAAAGAAAAATCAAGACTAATGAAATTTATGTGAAGCAGGGAGAGGGACCTGCATGGGTGGAGGAGCAGCAGCCCTGATCACAGAAGCTGAGACTCATTAGGACTCCTGGGTTACTGGGAGTTACCTTAGAGCTCTGGGTTACCTTAGAGGTTACTGGGTTACCTTAGAGCTGGGGC